GGTTTTGGTTCTAGTTGAGCCATTAACATGTGAATCAACTCCTCATATGGCTTGTTATGTGGGTCATCTGGTATGCAAAGATCGTATAGCTGTTCATGTATTTGTGGGGTGATTGCCTGTAAAAATAAATCCACTTTGACTTTTAGACTTAAGTTTCCCCGTAATTTTGTGTAGTTTTCAAAGCGTCGAGTGAAGTTTTGAAAACTTTCCTCTGGTGTATACGGCTGGAAAGGAATATTAGATACATTTTGACATGTTGCAGAAGCAGAAATTGCTGCATGTGTATCGTACTTTTTCTTTTCTGCTTCAAGGAATGTCCGTATCTCTCTATATATTTCTTCTAACTGCCATCGAATTTCTAATTCACTTTCTACTGAATTTGTGTAAAGTTAAATATTTGACTGTGTAACCTCAATTTCAGCCCATATTGCTAAAATTTTATGGTATTTACTCAGGGGAGGTATAGAAGAGGCTACGATGACAGCTGTGGGCTTCTTATTAGCTGAGGGAACGCCATTACCGTATTAAAACGATCAGTGGTCATCGGCCTTGGTGGTCTAATGGTTAGCGTGCCGGGCTGATATGCTGAAGGTCCCGGGTTCAAATCCCGCTCGTGGCATTAACTTTTTGTCCAAGATTTTTTTATTATCAGCAAGTTTGGTTGGTTTGGTTCGGTTATGACAGTTTAATTTTATTATTAAGTCATTATAAAATTTTAGTAGAGCAATTTCTAGTTTTATTTAATAAACAGAATTATTTTTTCTATCAATAAACTTTTGTTTTATTATTTCATTATCAGCAAGTTTGGTTAGTTCGGTTAGGTTATGATAGTTTAATTTTATAATTAAAAAATAATAAAATTGAATTTGAAGCATTTATAATTTTATTTTATGAACAGAACTATTTTTGCGATTAGTAAACCTTTTTTGCCAAAGTACTCTCTACTACAGCGCTGTTCACGGAGGAATTTTGAACTAATGCCTCATTCGTACCTCCCCTAAGTCAGACCCCAATGTTTATCTGTGTAGTAAGTGCATGTATCTTGAGAATGTTCACATGTTGGTAAATCATCCTTGAGTTTGAACAAGCGTAGTTCTAGTAATTTCCTTTTCTTTAGACATAAGTCAAATTCTTTTCTACTTACCATTTTACTCGTCACCATTGTTGATTCCACTAATTTTAGTAATAAAAGTTCACATTTTGTATAAGAAAATAGAAGGTAAGTTTTTATTAAATCACAATGTGTAAGTAAACATAAACAATTCAATAAGTAAACAAAATAATAATTTGAACACATGTTAGAAATAAAATGTAAATAAAACATATGTTAACAAGAGTCATCTGCATAAAGATACAAACCTGTACATGGGGCAAAATTTAGACACTTTTTAAAATTTTTTAAGTAACAAATGAAAAAGTAAAGGTCCCAGGACCGATCCTTCAGGTACACCAGATATTATTGTGCCCATATTTGAACTGTATTTTGATTTATAATTGTCTTTAGTGATGTGAGTTTAGTGTATATTCTTTGCCTTTTATGAGGAATATGTAATGGTCTGTATCATATTCGGCTCCCCTGACACTTATATTTGTAACACTGCTGATTTGTCTGCTGTCCACCAGAACATGATCGATCTGATTTTCGGTATTTTGCGTCTGGTAACATCCAGGTTGCTTTATGAATGTCTTTTCATTTGAACATTGTGCTACAAACCTTCATGTCCACTTGCTTGCAAACGTGACCAGTCTTAGTCCATTTTCATTTGTCTCTTTATGTAAACTATTACTTCCTCCTATTTCTTCCCAAATATCTTCTTTTCCCACTTTTGCATTTGCATCCCTAATAACTAACTTGACATCCTAGTGTGGTAACTTGTTAAATCCTCCTCTAGTTTTTCACTCTTCATCTTCGGAGTCCTCTGTTGGTGCATATAAAAATACTTAACATTGAAATATTTTTAAATCCTTCTCTCAGTCTAATATTGCATATTCTTTCATTCTTGGGTGTAAAGCTTACACACTACAGTATCAGTTATTGTTCTATTTACGGCAAAACCCACTCCTCCATTAATGCCTTCCATACTCTGTCCCACTATGGGTATATTACATAATCTTTGGTGTTGATTTCGCCTGCATATGGCCATTTTATTTCTTGAAGTCCGACAATATCCATTTCATAATTCTTCAACTCTTCTGCTAAAATGTCACAGCCACCTGGTACAGCAAGAGTTCTATCCTATTCTCAAGTCCTTAGTGCGTATCTGATTCGTTATTTTCCGAGGCTTGGTAACTACGTTTCGTAACTGGTATGTTTTCCTGGGCGAGTTGTTGGCCCACCGCCCAACCCCCACAAGCCCTTGGAGGACGGGGCTCGAGTTGCCTGCATTTCGCCTACTAAGTTCCAAGCCAACCTAAGAGGCGTTTCCCACCCTGCACTATGGGGAGGGAAAATAGAAAAGAATTTATTTATAAAAATAAACACTTCTGCCTTAAAAAATAAGGTTGCCAATGACACAGAAAACATATACACTCAAAATATTGAAGGATTATAACAGCTATTAAGACTGATTAATTTTGATGTTTGCCATATAAATGATTTCTCATTATAGTCAACGAACCTCTTAATGTTTTATGGATAATAATTTTCAAAAAGGATCTGTCCAAATCATATTGTTTCCAAAAGTTCCCAAAAAATATTGATAATGTTCCTATAGAACCAATAAACAATCCAATCACCTCCATTTTTGAAATTACGCTAAGAATGTGACCTTAACTGATGTTTAAATAACTCAATTTTAATTTTTAACCTTCCCTCGGTATCAGTAACCTCCCAAAAAGGTGTATGCGTCCTCCCACTACTTTAACCCACCAGCTGCCACTGACAGAAAATAAGAATGAAGTGATGACTCACCACTCAAGCCATATGGGCAAGAGTGGTGCTAGTTATGTCAATTTACATATTATAATTATTACATTACGGTAATAGATCATGCTAAATTTGAAAATGATAGCTTCAGCCCTCTATGTGGAGTTTGCATGTGATGAAGTTCATAAGATTTTACCTATAAGGGCTACTATATTGAGGCTGCACTGCTCAAAAAAGTAATGGGCTTAAAATCTTCCAATATTGCTGATTTTGGGTACAATAACTATTCCGAATCTTTGCAATTACTGTACAACTTTAATCACTTACCAGGTTTGTCATGGATTTTCAATCATAAAAACTTATATTTGTTATAAAATGTTTAGCCTCTGGATCACGTAATTTACTAATAAAAAGGTTAAATACCTGTAGTACTGTCTGTGATCCTGGAATTTAGGTCAGCGACCCAGGTTTCGAACCTAAAGGTTCATTTTCAAGCAGGTATCATAGTTAAAATCACGTAATTCTCTTCATAACTGTTGAGAGTCGTTATAACACACAAGACACAAACACGAAAACACTAAACATTAAACAAAATTGGCCAATTATAATACTGGTACGGTAGCGTGCGTGGTGTAGCCGGCAAAAGATGAGTCATGACTGGGCACGTGTACGCGTCGATGTCGGAGCGTGACGTATGTGCCCCCTCCCACTCCCGTTGTCTTTGTCAAATCCTCGCCTTACACTGACACTGCCATCCATCATATCTATTGCAGTATTGTAAATTAAATTTGACTCAAAGGATAATTTTTCATTGAGCAAATGGGTAGGACTGTTTTTAGATGATCGGTATATTTCAAACTCTTCGATGGTGTTCATATGCTTGCCCTTTCTGCAGTAATGCAATATGTCCAGATTGGTATCAATGTCGGTGTAATTATGGTTTGTGTCTATCAGATGGTTTGCGAATGCAGATTTGGTAGATTTTTTAGGCAGGTGTTCTTTGAATCTTTGCGTAAACGAGCGAGCTGTTTGTCCAATGTAGTAGTTGGGACAGTCATTGCATTTAATTTTATAAATTCCTGTCCTTTCAAAATTAGCAGTGTTTTGTACAATTTGTGGTTTTAGGAGATAAGATAATTTATTTGACGTTTTAAATGACTTTTTAAAATTGTTTTTAGTCATTTCAGATTTAAGGCTATTGTTCAATACTGTGCCATATTCAGTGGAAACGTATTTCTGCTTATCTTTTGACACCTTAGGCCTACTTTCATTTTTATGTTTAATTACTATCTTGTCTATGATGGAGCTTTTATATACATTAGATACTGCTATGTGTTTTATGTTATGTTCCTCGTTATAACTATCTTCATTAAGAGGTAAAGAAATAAGTCGGTGAACAAAGCTATTGTATGCAGCCATTTTATGACTGTACGGGTGATGAGATGAAGAATGGATCGTTTGGTCAGTTGTGGTTGGTTTCCTGTAAATATTGAAAGTGAAATTGTTGGGATGTTTTGTTGTAACAATATCCAAGAAATTAAGCTTGTTGTTGTTCTCTTCCTCTAAACTTAACTTTAAATTCTTATGGATGGAATTGAGATATTAGTTGAGGATATTAAGCTGTCTTATGCTACCATTAAAGAGAAGGAACGTGTCATCGACGTAGCGGCAATAGAATATTATCTTATCTTTCTGGCGGTTCTTATCAGACCATAGGTGTTCTACTTCAATTTTGTTTAAAAGTAGCTCAGTTAGTACACTGGACAAAGGAGACCCCATGGCCATGCCTTCGTTCTGGATGTAATATTCATTATCAAACATAAAATAGTTCTGTTTTAATACTGTTTTGGTTAAGATTAACAATTCTTCTTTAGCGTGATCTGATAATGTGGAGTTTTTATCAAGATTATTCCTTAGAATATATAGAATTATAACGACTCTCCACAGTTATGAAGAGGATTATGTGTTTTTAACTATGGTACCTGCTTGAAAATGAACCTTTAGGTTCGAAACCTGGGTCGCTGACCTAAATTCCAGGATCACAGACAGTACTACAGGTATTTAACCTTTTTATTATATTTGTTGTTTAGCCACTTGTATGACTAATTTTTCAATATATTGTACATGTATATAGTGTCTACTGATCTGGAGAACAAAGCTGCTTGGAAGGAGTGTTTCTCTGTGAAGGGAGTGCGTCTGCCGACAGGGTACTACTTGGGTGTCAGTGCAGCTACGGGTGATCTGTCAGATAACCATGACATTCTCTCAATCCGCTTCTACGAGCTTGACTTGCCCATGGATGTCAGTATTATTATTTTAACATTTTTGTCGTGATAATATAAGTTAGTTTAGAGACCATAAAACACTAGTTAAAAAGCTGCTACCATAAAATTGTATTATTTATTTTAACAGATACTCAGCCAACTTGACATTACTCAAGCGAAATTTCCATATAGGGAATAAAGCTATTCCAAATGTCTCATGGTAAGACCTGGATCCGGAACCGGTTAATTTTTTTGTATAGGTCCCCAGAGCACAAAAACACCATCAATTCAAATCTGTATATATATACAGGGTGGTTCACATAAGGTGCCTCAAATTGATTTCAGAAAAACCATTGGTCCTACAATGATGAAATAAAATTATTTCCACTAAATTGACCCCAAGGAATAATGTAAAAATATTTTTAATTTTTTATACCGGGTGTTCAAAAAACAGAGGGTCACTAGTTCAAATCTCAGAAATATCAAATACAAACATATATCATATTATAGATAATTTTAAAGCACTATTAAAAAGAAACATTTTGGTGGAAACAGAACCATATTATCCTTAGCCGTTTCAAAATGGCAGCCACTCTTTTGAAAAAGTTTGATTTTTACGGAATACCTACAACTAGTAGTGCCTACAAATAGTTGTATCTATCTACATTTAGTTGTATCTCTTTTGTAGATATTATAAAAAAAATAATTTAGTATGTTTTGTAGTTATTAGTAACGGAGAAAATGATTACATTTTTAAATGATTATTCAAGCACACAATTATTAAATAAAAATATACTTTACTATTTACAAAGCAATAGCTTCAAATTTGTGTTGATGTTAATAGCTCTAAATTATCATATGACCGCAGGGAGCGAGTTGGTCTAGTGGTTAGAGCGGGGGACTCTGGTTCCTGGGGTCCTGGGTTCAAATCCCGCCAAATCACCAATGGATTTTAATCTAAGTGATAATGCCGTAAATAGTGAATTAGCCGATTCCTGAATTGGTCGATTCCGATACCGATTCTACAACTTTGGTTTGATTCTCGATAGGCCTACCGATACCTGTTCAAAATTCATTTAATAACACATATAGCTTATGATATAACTTTATTTAATCTTTATACAATAAGATAACTGCATTGCTATTGATTAAGGTTACATAGGTTTGCCAATAATAAGGAAAATAAGATAGGTAGGCTATTTAAAGAAGACATGAATTTTAACATATTTTATTAAATTAAATTGAAAAAACAATCACCAATTCAGTGAATCATCAATTTAGGGTTAAGGTAGGCATAAAATGTTCACAGAGTTTTTTGTTTGCATAAGAATTCATACATCTAGGCCTACAATGAATGTTCCATATTGCTTGAGTTATTATAAACTCAAAGTCAATATCAAAGTCATCTTCAATATTGTCATCATAAATATCACTTAAATTACTTAATGTTGAGTGCAATTTTATATTTGCCACATGTCTGTTTTTAATGTTATACTTCAATGATGAATACCAGATGGTTAAATTGTTAAATGTGTTGTTAAAAACAATAATAGTCTAATCTATGTCTTTTGAGTTGGTTGAATTAAAAGTGTTGAGTTTAATAATTCAAATTCAGTTTGCCCTTTTATTTTAATGAGCTAGGTATTTTAATTTAGTATCCAGGGAAACCACATATTTACAGGTTATGGGCCCAGGGCTGTTTAAATACGGAATTTGTTAATATTTTGTTTACCTGGCTAATCAAATTGAATTAATATGGCAACTGAACATGAAAAGTATCGAATACCATTGTTTGATGGAACCAATTTCAGCAATTGGAAATTTAGAATTGAAACTCTGCTGGAGGAATTAGAATTATTATCTTTTGTAAAGGAATCTTATGTTACCAAAGTTGAATTTCTGGAAAAAGACACAGATGAACAACGAGAGAGGAAGGAAGCAAGGTTGTTGGAATTAGCGAAACAAGATCGGAAGTGCAAATCGCAGATTATACAGCGTATTGCCGACAGCCATTTGGAATATGCAAAAGACAAGGCAACTGCTTTTGAACTATGGCAATCTCTCTGCAACACATTTGAAAGGAAAGGTATTGCTAGCCAACTTCTACTAAGGAAGCAGTTACTAACAATGAAGTTTGATGTGAAGAATGATGTTTTAAATCGTCACTTTCTGAAATTTGACAAAGTCATAAGAGTGTTACGTTCTACAGGAGCAACTGTTGAGGAATCTGACATTGTGCAACCTACTCCTCTTTTTTATAGATTTCATGTATATAAATTTACTTAAATAAATAATAAAATTCCAATAAAGTTACAATAAAATATATTTAGGTTCTATAGCTATTACAACAATCTCATTGGGCTATGACAGTGAAATTATATTTTGGTCTAGGTTTTGATGGGCTAGGCTAGATAACAATTTGGAGAGAAAATTATCTTAATCTAGGGGTTGGTTCGTGCCGGGTATGAAATTCTGATAGGCTAATTAACTTAATTTATACAGTACTAAAGTAGGCTAAATAATATGAGATAGGCTAATAATGAGAGTAAAAAAAAATTTTGGCTATAAGTTCTTAATTTGAAAGTCACTTGAATTTAGTCAAGGTGAATTTAGGTGGTTGGAAATTGATGATGAGTTTTTAAGTGTTAATTGAAGTTGATATTACCAATTTCTGTTGAATAGTGATTATCTTATTTCTTTATGTCTCTTTATATTCAATATTTATATGTATTCTGAATGTTAATTTTTACTTTTGAATATTTAAATCACTGGAGACTTGGCTCCCACATCCATCTCTCTATATCTTCCACCACAAGCACATTTTCTTCTTTTCTTTAGCTTTCCTTCCAACAATGCTACTTCACACCTGGACACTGGACAGTACAAAAGAAATATTTCCTACCTAGACACCAGTTAATTTTAGAATATTATTTTTGAATATAGTTTTTCTTCTTCACTAATTTATATTTCAATAAATTTAAATATTCTTTTTTAAAATACAGTAATTAATAAATATTGAAAGTAATTTAGTTACAATTCACATATGAGTACTGTAGAATTACACTAAATGATATTCAAAATATAAAAGAACCATTTTATTGAATTCTTAAACACATCAAAACTAACAGAATATTTACTAACAAACTTAATAATAATAAATCAGCTGATGTATTAATTACTTATACATTTAACTATCCAACATTTTTCCCCTCTTTCTTTTTACACGGATTCAACAGCTCCCATTCTTTGTCTCATCTGGTCCGCATGTTTCCTTTTTATAACACCTCCACAAAGTACATCATATGAGTTCAGTCCATTTTTATTTTTCACCATTCCAGCTGACCAACCATTCCCATGTTCATTCTTAATCCACACATCTCCTTCTTCAAAAGTTTGAACTTTTTTATTGTCCCTCCCTTGTTCTTTCCAAAGCTTCATCTCCATCTTTTTCCTAAGATTAGGTTTCATATTGTCAAAAATTGTTGGTAGTCTACGACCGAGGAACAATTCTGCCGGAGTCCTACCAGTTGTTTTCTGAGGTGAGTTTCTGTAGCTAAAAAGAACATTTTGAAGAGCTAGCATTCCATCTCCAACATCCTGCTTTGTTGTGTAGAACCGTCTTTTCAAAGTACGAATTAGTCTTTCCACAAGTCCATTACTTTTAGGATGGTAAGGAGTTGTTTTTATGTGGTTGATAGAATTTTTTTCAAAAAATGTTTCCATTTCCTTTGATACAAATTGAGGTCCATTGTCTGTCACAATTTCACTTGGTATTCCATATCGACTAAACCAAGATCTCAATCGTTGAATGATTGTTGAAGAGTTTGTTGTCTTGAGACAGTCCACTTCTGCCCACTTTGACAAAGCATCAATACCTACCAACCACATAGATCCGTTGACTGGCCCTGCCAGATCAATGTGTACCCTTTCCCAAACTCTATCAGGTACATTCCAAGGATATAATGGTACTTCTTCCACATTATCTCGATTCTCTTGACAAGATGTGCACCTCTTGATATAAACTTCGATATCTTTATCCATGTTGGGCCACCATACATAGTGTCGTGCTACAGACCTCATTGATACAATACCAGGATGTCCTGTGTGCAATATCTTCAGAACATCAGTTCTCATGCATTCTGGAACTACAATTCTTCCAAACCACAATAATATGTCATCTTCAACACTCAATTCATCTTTCCTCTGTTTATATGACTTCAACATTTCAGGAACAACAGGGGGCCATGTATTTCTCAATATAAAGTTTTTTGCCATTTTAATTGCTTTATCTGTAAATGAATTTTGTTTCAAGAGGTCATAAGACATGATAGAGTTAACCTTATCAACATTCAAAAAACCAATGTGAGCCTCCTCAGGTTGATCATCTTCAATCGGAAGTCTTGATAGAACATCAGCACACACATTATCTTCTCCTTTTCTGTACTCTATGTCATAGTTGTATTGATTCAACTGGAGAGCCCACCTCACTAAACGGCTATTTACAACTTTTGGGAGATCTCGCATATTTCCAAATATCCGTTGTAGAGGTTTGTGGTCGGTTACTAAAGTAAACTTCCGACCATATACATATTGATGAAATTTCCTGAGTCCAAACATAATAGCTAGCGCTTCTCTGTCGATATTTGAATATTGTTTTTCAGCGGGCAATAGTGTACGACTGGCAAAAGCAATTGGTCTTTCTAATCCATCTTCATATCTGTGCATTAGTACACTTCCCAATCCATTTTCTGATGCATCACAGACCATTACCAATGGTCTCATTTCTTCATATGGCACTACTGTGTCTTTACTTGATAGAATTTCTTTTACTCTTTTAAATGTCCCCTCTTCTTGTTCGGACCATTTCCATTGTAATTTAGTCCCAGTCAGCTTATGGAGATCACTGCAAATGGCATGAAGTCCCGGAATGAATCGTTCATAGTAGTTAATAGAACCTAAAAATGATCGGAGTTCCTTGACATTAGTAGGTGACCATGCTTCTCGAATGGCTTTTATTTTTTCTTCAGTAGGATGTAT